AACTGATTTTTTTACTCTTGCATCAGTACCCTAATAAAATATGCTGTTTTCATATTCGATCTGATAAAAAAATTATTCAAAATGATACTCTTTCTTTATTTAGAACAAGTAATACAAAAAAATGCGTTTTACAGAATGCTCGTTGCAAACAAATCGGAACCATTATAACATTTAGTTGAAGTTTTTTTGTCCCTGGAAGTTTGATAAATCGAACATCGTTCAATTTGCCTACCATTCTAACTGGATGGTTCGAAATCATTCGAAAAAATGCCTTTTAATGGATTGGAAATATCCAGTTAGAATAGTGAATGAGTCATTGGATTATGGATTAAAAATTTAACATGTTCTCCTTTCTTGTTATATGTTTGTTGTATATTGAAGGCATGGCATTGTACCGAAGGCTTATAATGATATAAAACAACAAATGAATTTCTTTTTAAATTCAACAACATATATGAATTCGTAAGAAATGACAGTTGCTTCCGGAAAGCAGGAAATAACAAAATATTTCCAGTGCATTTTAAAATTTATGTGTATGGGTCAAAAATGAGCCAGGTTGGTAGTACTAGGGTTAAATAAGTAGCTTCATTAATATAAATCTGAAATTCTTTCTTATTACTCTAACAACATTATAGATTAAAAGATAAAAATAAAAATGAAATCTAAAGACAGGTATTAGATAAAAAGACTGCAATGTTGCGACCAAAGTTTCTATATATTCTACATTAGCAGGGCATGGTGTCTCATGCTAACATTAAAAATTACATTCCTAAGGTATTCATTTGAATATTTTCTTCTCTAATATATATAATTAGTCGCATCTTAATAAAAACCATGAAGAATTTTCAGTTCTAATCACTTTCAGTTATTTTTATATCTGTTTGGTATGAATAATGTTCTCCGATTTGTTCCCAATTTTTCAGTGTATTATAGTGCGTCATGTATTAGTCATTTTTTCCTCAGTATGTTTTCACACTGTGTCTATTATTTGTTTTTAATTTATTATGAGTATCTATCTAACACATAAGCTATCTTTCGTTATAGATATTCCTATGTGTCATATATATTATAGAGCTTCCTTATTTTTATCGTAATGTATATTCATTCACTTATCACTTTGCTGATTAATTATTTAGCGGGGATTTGTTTGACGTAATTTGTGTTATTGCATAAGCCGAACTCTCATTTCCATATAAACAACTTTCCTGATAAAATTGCAGTTGTATTTCTATTGTCATATACCACATTAATATGTTAAGCTTACATTTATTTTATTTGAAGATGCGTTTCATATTTTGAAGTAAAATTAAACTGGGTGTTTCATTTATATGGTTACTTTTAGTCAAAGATGAATATCTATATCAGTTCTTAGAAAAATAATTGAACAAACTTGCTCATTGGAAATATAGTCTTATCAAAATAGATCTTCCACAGAACATTCTGTATTTTTTAAAAGTTATATCTCAATCACTATGCTCCAGTAAAAACAAAAAACAGTTCCTCATCTGCAAATTCTGACACTGTGTTAGAACGCATGATATAAAGAAACCTGTAATGAGTTGCACTACTATAACTTTAAATAATAATCATTTTTTTACGAACTTTGACCAGTACATAAACTTACAAGTTTGGTTTTGTAACAAAAATATCACTATAAATTTCAGTTTAGAATCTCAATATTAATCATATATCAAACTATAAATCTTATATCCATAATAATTCAGTTGTACTTCGTTCAAGAATTTTTGCGTATATGCTAAATTTATTTCTATTTACATTTGATTGGTATCATGACTTGGAATATCATAAAAAAATTGTTGTGTTTGTATGGTATTCAAAGTCATAATATTGTATTGATGTGGAAATGCAAATATCAAAATATACGACAGAAATAATTTCGTAGAAGAATATAATATCATATATAGAACTACACATGTAAATTTTATATAAGAAAGAAATAATAATAATAATAATAATAAAAGGATAGAAATATTATATGCAATATGAATAAATGATGCAAAAAAAAATTAAATTCTCAATGATTGTATAAAGACAGAGTTTTGCATGATTATTTGAAAAAAAAGTTAATATTTTTTGGCCAAAAAAGAAATTTAGATAAATAACTATTGTAAGAAAATGTGAAGATGTACTTGTTCATAAGAAAAATTTAATCATTATTAACTAAAAACAAACAAAAGATAGCATGAACATCTCATCAAAATGAAAAGAAATATAGAATAAAGCTTTTGCGACAAAGAAGGATGAGATTAAATATTGTTTTCTACCAAATCTAATAAATAAAATGAATCATAATCTTTACATTCTATAAATCCTAAAAATAATTTTTTACTACAACATATAGCTATATGTGTAGTTATTATATAAGAAATGTTCGTAAATAAACATTGCATATAGGTAATAGATATTTGTAATATACATGATAATATTAAGCATAACAATCATTGGATAATATACTGAACAAGAAAATACTTACTTAGTTGGCACAAAAATATTATAATGATTTATATTTTCAGTTAGATAATAATTAACTGAGACTATTTACTGTATTTGAATAAACATTTGATTATGATGTGCTAAAATGCTATAAATAATAATCTATTTTATGTTTAGGTGGTGGTCAATATATACGACTAATATGTATAAACCAATTACTAATTGATATTTTCTAATGTGGTATATGGAAATCAAGCATCATATATAATTTTGTTGTTCAAATTTGATTCAGATAAACTAGCAATTAGTTGAAAGACATTTATTTTCTATCATATTTCTAGGATGATTAAGTTGAAGACATATAAATTAAGAAACGTAGAGTTCATGTGTATTACAGGCTTATAATAACTTTCATGACGTCAATGACGTTCAAGATTGTTAATGCCATATATTGTTACCTATTTAATGATGAGTATATTTTCGAATTACTACTACGGAACTCGTCATTCAATATTTTTATGTTAATAGCAAAGACATTTATAAATTTAACGTTAGAAATCATGGTGAGAATGTTCAGAAGAAATCTTAATTGTGAAAGCAACTAAACTATGTTGGTATAATTTTATTATTTTTTTAGTAAAAAAAATAGGATAGATGCACAAAAACATTAATAAATCAACCATGAATTTTTATTTTAAGAAACAAATCTCTATAGTCAATATATTTTTGTATGAATTTCTCTTCCTCTCGATTCTTATCAGAAAACAAGACTATGAAGAAAGAACAAAAAAGTAAAAGAAAGAAGTACCTTTCAATTTGGTGAAATGTCGTTTATTTTAATCGTCAAAGCGAATACTTGTAACGATTATAGATTCCATCATTACTTGTTATTTATTTAAGTATCAAATCAATCAATCTAGATTTCATTATATTTAAATGTTTGACTAGAAACATTTTCTAGTAACATTCAGAAAAGATCATGAATAACAAAAATCAAAATATTTCTAAAGAATTATTGACGTATATATTTTCTTTATGAATTTCACATCGGTTTTTTATTACATGGAACGGAAGTTTTTTTTTTTGGCTCGATTCATCGACATTAGTTTAGAAAATTGTTGTATCAAAGCAATTAGAAAAAGGGTATCATGTTCTTTTCTTGAAGAGGCATGTCAAATTTTATCAATAGAAGTAGCATTTATTAAGATCTACCCAATTAATATATAAAATCTTTGAAAAATACTTGTGTAGAATCGTTTTACAATATAAATTTCACGCAAGGGAAATATTAATTGATCCTGTACGCTTAAATTAATCATTGGAGACCTATGAACCTATTCAAACTCGAGATTGACAGATTGGATTCGCTGCCATTTAACAAGAAAAATATAATACATCAATGACAAAGTTATCTGATTTGATTGAACATTTTCTTTTGTTTTTTTTTTTATCATAAACTAGATAACGACTAATATGTGATCATGATTGACATAATCGATTTTCAACATGCACAAGAAAAATAAAAAATAAAACTTGAATTATTAGATAAGTTGAAGAAAGTTGATGCAATCTTGTTGAAGTATACTTTTCATGTTTTGTTTCATGATACTTAAAATCAAATTTCAAAATAATTTAATAAAAGTTTATCGAAGCAAAAAAAAAAACCAATCTATTTATCAAATTGAAAAACTTAGCTAATATTTATTTAACAGAGTGTTAAATCTTAAAACACACTGAAAAGAAAATTTTTTTTGTCAATCTTCTCTTTGTTTCTGTTAATCAAATACAATCATTCACATAAAAACTCATCAATAATATAAGTAATAATTCCACTTTTTTAATTTCACTTATTGTCAATCTCAACTTATCTTTTGATAGAACATGTACATTAGTATTTGAATAGATGATAATAATAAACTTTTATCTTTTTTAAATAGTACATATTATGTATCATTCAATAGTCAATTGATATTAATTAATGTATATGAATCAATATTCAACGAGTTATACAAGATTAAATCAATAGCATCATCTCTCTGTTAATATTTTCAATCATAATTAATAGATTATCACGTGTAAAACCTCATTTCTTTTTGTTTTGTTACATTGTTAAACATCGCAATAAAATTTATATAATGAAAAAAGAAAACAATTATTTCTAATTTCTTCAAACAAACAGAATATGATTCATAGATATGTACTCCAAGTTCATATTAATAATTGTATATCTAATTATAAAATAATTTAATTTTTTAAATTAAGATTCATGTTTTCTTGTTAATTAGATAAACAATCTTTCATTTTATGAGACTTTCAATGCATGAATAAATTTGATTTGAAAATGTCATACGCTTTAGTAAGTTGTTTTGATGTATACATTCAGCATGATTTTATAATCGAAATGGCATCTCAGCAAGATGTTATTTTTCAATTTTTTTGATGACGTATAGTATATAATTCCATTTTAAACGATAGGATAGCGTTTCGAGAAAGAAGAATGATGATGTCAACATACATGAAACATTAAAACGAAAAAAAAAATTCTAATGGCAAGAGAAAGTATAGGTTGGGTGAGCACTACAGAACTTGATAATGTTCAAGACTTTTGGACAAGTAATGTTCTTAAATCCTCAATATATAAAAATAAGGTGATTTATTTTTAGAATTGTATTATTTTAAATAAACATATTATGTTTATTTTTTACTATTAGATTCAAAGATTACCACCTTTGAATATACATTATGATACACCTCGTTTACCAAATGATAAAAAATGGACTGATCAATCATTAATTTCAACTCGAAGTGTTGATAATTATTTAGCTGAATCCGATGCATTTCAACGAGCTTCTTTTACAAATATAATCGAAAAATGGAAAGAATATGATAAAAGTAAAACTGATCGACTTATATCCTCATTTGATACTCATTATAATATGAAAATACGTTTTCGTCAAGACGAGAAAATAAATCGTTCATCAGAAATGAAATATGGATCTATTGCAACATATCATCGTTTTATAGGCAGTGAAAATAATAATAAAAATAATAAACCATGTGTACGGCATAAACGTCTTACACAAGAATTTGAAGAAAGACATGTACGTGAATTATTACAATTACCAACAACAACAGTTAAAACACGTAGGCCATCTCATTATTTATCGAAAATAACTAAACTTCCACCTATTGAAACAACTATTCATAGTTCAGTATCAGTTAGACCGTCCGTATCCGTTGCTGAGCAGTCACATCATTCATTTGCTTAAGTCTTTTTAAAGTTTTTTGAATTTTTTTTTCTGAAGTTAACAAAGATTTTTGACGATTTTCACAACGTTGTATTATAGATATAAATAAAATATTAATTGTATGCAATTCATCTAATAATAATTTTCGACGTTTATATAATGTTATAGCATAAGTACTTATTGAAATAAATGTTTGAATTTGAATAATTAATGTTATTATTGATATTGATCGAATCCAAATAAGAAATAATTGATAACGATTATTAAATAATGAAGAAAATATTTTTAAGATCTTTTCAATATTTTTTTCAAAAAACCTAGACAAACATGACATGATCTAATTCAATAATAAAAAAAAACAAAGATAAATAATATCAAAACATATACACTTGTTTTTTTCCAAAGTTTAAAGTACGCGCGTTATAATGGAACCTAGCAAAGAAAATCATAATCCATTAATTAAATTCATTAAATTTTCAATTATCCGATTTTTATTTTTATTTTCGTTATTCTGATAACAATAGTACTCATATCTTCGAAATTGCTAAAAAATTGGCGATTCATCGAGATATATCGAAACGATAATCGTGAACTAAAACGTGATAAATCGCCACTTCTTAAGATAAATCGTGAGTTTTATGATCGATGATTATCCTTCATTATATATATAATAGACGTGATTTTGTTCATGTAACCTCGATTCTACTGATATACTGAGAAGTTCTGTTACAGGCATGTTGTTCACGTACCTTCACATCGCTTCATCTGTTACTGTCCATTTTCTCTCTGTTCGTCTTTGGCATTCGCTTCTTCTCTCTGTGTTCTGTTTTCGTTCTCTTTTTTTACATTCTTTGATTCTTTTTTTCTCTCGTCGCAATGCTCTCTGTCTTCGGTCGGGTCATTCGAAATAAAACTGAATTAAAAGAAAGAAGCAGAAGGGACTTCTAATATTTTGATGCCGTGACCCGCCTTCAGATAATTATTATTACTTTCACATGTTTTAAAACGTCGTTTTACACCAATACAAACCCATAGACCCAAACCCATCCCAAGGTGGTAGTAATTCAAAAATCGAGCAAAATGTTTTTCTTGAATATTGTTACATGGTTCAAGAGAGCTCCTTGAACTCTATAAAATTGTATATATTAAAAAAATTTTTGAGGCAGTTTTTTGTGATAAAAAATTCAAAAAACTATTTAAAAAGTCTTAAAAAACGTTAAAACCTCATATTTTTGATGTGGAAGAAACGCACTGTATGTTTCAATAAAATTAGCTTTTTTTTAATTACTTTTACTCCCTCAGGCATTTCGAAATGTACTCATTCGATGCAGTTTTTCACACTGTATCGAATGAGTACATTTTCAAACACTTTACATAAGGATATTAATGAAAAATAGCTGAATTTAAAGTAAAAAAGACCATTTTGTTTCCTATAAAATGTAAAAAATGCGAGTTTTTTTATACATTCTTTAGACAGTTCTCAGTGTATTTTAACCCAAGAACTCTGTTTAAAATTTTTTTAATATATACAGTTTTGTAGAGCTCGATGAACTCTATCGAACCATGTAAAAATATTCAAGAAAAACATTTTACTCGGTTTTTAAATTACTGTCATCTGACTTTCCCAGCATAAAAAAAGTATAAAATTTCTGAAAGTTTCTTAAGTTTGATATGAAAAAGTTTTTATAACCCTCACTATTTAGTATCAATAAACACCATTTTTGACAAGCTTTCATTTCATATAAAATTCATAATGTCTTCCATTTGCAATCATAGCATAACCTCCCGGGAATAATATTTTTACCCACCTAGTACAATTGTCTAATCTTTTTAATGTCATAATAGTGGCATCCATGGTGAGACTAAATTTTTCTTTTGATTTCCAATCCATATAATTATATTTTAAAAAAATGTGTAGAAAATATATTTGACTTTCAATTTTGCGCACTTGAAATATTTCTCTAATTAATTGACAATTCTCAATTAGTTACTGGAATCAGTGAAATAAATTCGATTTATCATCGATCCTTTAAAAACTCTATCTCATGCTGACTTTTGTTGAAAATTGTCACGATTTTCATGACATATTTATTTACAATGTATGCAACGTGCTAACAATTAAAAATACCAGTATGATTTTTTTTTTTACATTTTGTCATAGTAGGATTTAGCTTGCCAAATTACCAAAGATATAGTATTTTTTACATAGAGAAAGAATATTTTAAGAGAAAAATTCATGATTAATGGCATAGCTAAAGGTGAACCAGACGGGTTGTCATCCTATCACCAGGAAAGACAAAAAGATCTAATAATCGCTTCCATTTACACTATCTTGGATGAATTTTTTGAAAAATCATAGGATAACTGACCTAATATCCATGATACTATTATTTTTACAGTTGAGAAAAATAGACCGGAAATTCTTACTGTCATAAAAGTTCCTTTTCTATATCTGATAGATACTTATTCTTATGTAATTCGACAAGCTCTATCCAACCATGACAAAAAAGGGAAAAAAGTCTTGGTAAAATTTTGAATTGTTGGCACATTACATACACTTCAAATATCTTAAAACTTGAACATCTCAGTCCGTGTACATCATGAGCAGTTCACATTTTTCGAGATGCCTCGAGCAAGGACAAGGATGGCCTTCCTCCAGTCTTGAAAAACTGTCGTTTTTGTCCAGCGTTTTATTGATTTTTTTTGCTCACCAATTTCCAATAAAATGTGCATTCCTCATTCAAATCCAATCAACTTCAGCAAAAACCTGATCGGTCTAGTGAGTCATCGATGCCTCCTATCTAGTCTTAGGGACACCCCTGCATATTTTTAGTTTACTAGTTTGACGATGAAAGTTTTATTTTGGCTCTGATATGTCTAATGCTTTTGAATTACGACGTACATCATTATTTTGTCGAAAAAAATCTGTTTTATTGCAATACACTTCTAGAAATTCTGCTGTCAGCTCATTCACTTTCATAGGTCATGTCTATAATTTAGTCGTTTCTTTTCTTTCTATCCTCTATTACATGGTTGGTTACTATTCTGAGCTGTCGTTTTTCTTCTTTGTTCTGCCACAACTTTAACAGAAAAAAAGAATGAGAAAAGAAAAATTTTGATTCTTTATTGTAATTATAGAGGACTTTTATGTTCGAAGTAGCACAGAATAGAGAAGAAAAAAAAAAGAAAATTAACTCTACCTTCACCGATTTTTTTCTCTGCTTATATTTGTTTTTTCTTGTATTCTGTGAAGAGTGCAGTGTAGGTCAATATTATTTACCATTGCCAGGATTCTTTTTTTTCTTTACAACAATGCACTTTAGTTCAAGTTTATATCGTCAATTTTAAAATAGCCTAGTAATATTATTGGAAGCACTACTGCCATCATAGACGAAATTATTATAAATAAACTTTATATATATATAATATATTATTGATTAACAGTCTTAAACTAGCAACGAAACATATATTTAGATCCAGCTGGTAAGAGTATGTACATAACTGACGGGATATGTTTCTATTAAAGAATAATAACAATGCTATTATTTTAGTAAAGAATTAATTCTTTTTGAGTCTATATCAATGCAATATAGTTCTTTCAATTTACTTTTTGTCCTTGGAATTATATAAAGAAAGCTTGATTTTATTTATTATGAAATTAACTTAAAAAAGAAATCAAGACTAAAGTGATCCACGCTCTAATGATTTTATCATATGGCTGTAAATCGATTTTTCTTTCGTTTTTTGCTCCTTTTTTTTCGCTCCTCTTTCTACCGATCACGGAACAAATAACTGAGAAGGACGAATCATAGTACGACGGATGTCAACAGAAGAAAAAAATCACACAATGTAACATTTATTCTCAGTGAGTAAAGGCAAAATGAGTATACGTGTATCGCTCAGGTTTCTTCGTTAAGCGTGATAAAGCAAAATCTTCTATATCATGCATTGCTTTAGGCAAAACATTATGTAGACGTCTTTATTTTTCAACATGACTAAACATAACAAGAAATTGAAAAAAAAATCATATCAGAAGGTTCTTCTCACCTTTCTCGAATGTTATTTTGCCGTGTGACCATGATTCTTCCTTTGCTTCTAATTATGTCCGTAGTATGTACTGTTTCTTGAAAGAAACTCTTCTAAATTGAAACAAAATCGAATACAAAAAACAAAACAAAATGAAAATATTTAACAAGTTTGATTCTATTTTAGAGTATGCTCTGGTTAGTATATGGCGCAGCGGGTTGGATTGGTGGACAATGTCGTGATTTACTCAATGTTGCTGGTCAAAAAGTAGTATCTGGTCGACGTGTAGCATCATTAAAAGATGTTGAAGAAGATATTATTACACATAAACCCGATCGTGTTATTTGTGCTCTTGGTCGAACACATGGTGACGGTATTTCAAATATTGATTATTTAGAAAAACCAGGTAAACTTAAAGATAATATGCGTGATAATCTATTAGCACCAATGTTTATTGCGCAAGCAACAATGCAATATTCTAAATTAGCTGCTCCTATTCCAACTCTTTATATTGGTACTGGCTGTATTTATGAATATGCAAATCCAAATGATTTGACTTATGCATATACAGAAAATGATCCACCAAATTTTTTTGGTTCATCTTATTCAACTGTCAAAGGTACAACTGATTTATTAATTGATGCTTATCCACATGTGATAAAGTAAAAAGATTTTTTTTTAATGTTCTATTTTTCTATTTGATTATTTTAGTGCTCGTATTCGAATGCCAATATCGGATGAACCAAATTCAAGAGATTTCATTACTAAAATTGTTGCTTATAAAAAAATTACATCATTACCGAATAGCATGACAGTTATGTCAGATGTATTACCAATACTTCTGGCACTTACACATGATGGTAAATTTGGTGGTCGAATAAATGCCTGCAGTAAAGGATGGTTAGTATTTCTGTTTTTAACGTTTAATGTAAATGAAATTTCTATATTATTATTTGTTTTAAAGGGCTGATCATGATTGGATTCTTAAAACTTATCAAGAGAAAACAGGCGAAGTTTTAAATTATGAATTAGAATCATTTGAAGACCAAAGTGCACGATTAGCTGCACGTCGTTCAAATAATATTTTATCTACAGATAAACTTGAACAATGGATGAAAATGTTATCACCGGATACACGTAAACTTTATTATACACCACATATATTACCAGAATTAAAAAAAAGTATTGAAACAATATGTGTACATCGAGCAAATATGAAAGCAACTAATAATCATGATTTAACTGAAACACGACGATTACTTGTTACTGGTGGTTGTGGATTTATAGGAAGTAATTTTGTTAATTATTGGCTTAAAACATATCCTGAAGATACAGTTATTAATGTTGATAAACTTGATACATGTTCTAATATACGAAATGTTGAACAAGCTGATTCATCGAAATATAAATTAGTTGTTGCAAGTATTAATAATAAAGATTTAATGTTACATTTAATGAAACAATATGATATTACACATGTTGTTCATTTTGCTGGTAAAATTTTACATGATTTAATCGATTTCTATTTATTTTTTATTTTAATTTATTTAGCACAAACACATGTTGATACATCATTTGGTAATAGTATTCTATTTACTGAATCAAATATATTTGGTACACATTGTTTACTTGAAGCAAGTCGAATTTATAATAAACTTCGAAAATTTATACATATTAGTACCGATGAAGTTTATGGAGAGTGGCCAGCAGGTACTAGAATAATGTTAAAATTGAAAATTTCTAAAAATAAAAGAAATAATTGATTTATTTAGGTAGTTGTCATGAAACAGCTGTTCTTAATCCAACAAATCCTTATGCAGCAACAAAAGCAGCAGCTGAATTTCTTGTTAAATCTTATGGTGAAAGTTTTAAATTACCATATGTTATAACACGTGGTAATAATGTTTATGGTCCATATCAATTTCCTGAAAAAGTTATTCCTCGTTTTATTACATCAATAATGAATAATGAAAAAATGACAATACAAGGTGATGGAAAACAAGTTCGAAATTTTATTCATGTAACAGATACAGTACATGCTATTGATCTTGTTCTTCGTAAAGGTAAAATAAAAATGATTTATAATATTGGTTCAAAAGATGAAATTAAAGTTATGGAAATAGCTTCAATACTTCTTAAGTTAATGAAGCCAGAAGTTAAACTTGAAGATTCAATTGTTTATGTTAAAGATCGTTATTTTAATGATTGCCGATATTCTGTTATGACAGATGCACTTGAAAGTTTAGGTTGGAAACAAGAAATTAAATTTGATGATGGTATTCGTATGACTATTAAATGGTATCAAGAACATCCTGATCATTGGCAGAACGATGGATCTTATAATTTAGAATAGTGTGCTCTTATTTGAATTGATAATCTATTAATTAATCTTTCATTGATCCAGAAGAGGACAAAAAAATTAGCATTTTTTTTTTCTGAAGTTCAAATATGGTTTTTTTTTGTGCGATAAATGACTTGTGATTTTAATAGAATATTTTAAGTTGTGCGACATATACAGATCGATCCATACAAAATAAAGTATAGATCAATCATATTATAAGTCAAACATACTTGAAAGACAGACGTTGACACTAAGAACTCTGTGTTAATGTAAATTAATTATATTTTTATCTCATTTTAATGAAATTAATGTGCTTGATGTTTGTATTTTCAAATAAATTTATTGATCCAAAAAAAAAAACATATTATTAAAAGATGTACTCGAAATAACCAAATCTAATCTTCAATTTCGATAAACGATTAAAAAAACAAAAAGATAAAAGAAATAATAATTTTTATTTTATTCTCAAAATCATAAACTGAAATATGTACATATGTAAGTAAAGCACAAGAAGAACAATTTATTTTGATTATCGTATTGATACATATAATGTTACAAGTATTCATATGTCTTATCAAGATATTTTAATCTGATGGTGGTAAATGTAAAGATGCTTGATCGGATAACTGTGATGCAACAGTATGAGTTGACTCTTGTGTATTGTTTGCACGATCGATGAGACTGGCATGGAATTTTCTTAGTGATATTTTGATTGGATCATGAATACAATTTGTTATATAAACACCATGAGGGTTAACAATGACCGCATGTGTGACGATGGTAGCAAAATTACATGTATGTATGTGATAATGAGAATTAAATTTTTTAAGATTTTCACAATGCCAATAAGTTTTCTCGTCAGTGTGATAATCTCGAATAGACGAATAAACGTCTCATATCATTAGATACTGGTTTTTTGCGGCAACAATGAATTCGACTGAAGTATATATGTTTGAGTTTGAATGTGATTGATAATAAGCTATTCTGATATCGAATACTTGTATTCTTTTATTTGAAACATTATTGTTCTCAAAACGAGCTTAGCTTAACGAGATTTAAGCATTGAAAGAATTATATGTCTTCTAGTTACAATTCGTAATTTAGTGGATAAGACAATCACACGGCTTCTAACAATCTATCTTAATACTATTCTTATTAAGGGTAATTTGAACTACCTTGGATGCCATTACTATTCCCTTCCTTTGTAAGCTTTTTTTCAGTGTAAATTAGATTCCGTTATTTCGTGCACATCTTTCGTATACTTACAACTAACTTATTCCTTCTAATTTGAATGTTTTGAAGTACTATATTGTATTGTCTTCTCATTTTGGAATATAGATGCAATAGTTATATACAGTCATGTGTGCCGTCATTCGATCGATAGCTGTTAATATACGTGTGTATGAACAAACGTATCTATTCAATATTTATGCCTTTTGCTAATAAATTACAAAATATCGCATCTTTTTAGGAACCCCTCCTCCCCCTCAAAAACCAATTTCGCATCATGTACATTCAAATCGCATGAGATTTTCAGAATATGTTGGGAATGTAGGGGACAGTCTATGGTAAAATTTTCATCTCTATACCATGACGTTTGAGAGAAATTACATCAAAACTTTTCTTATTGTCTATTGATTAACTAATTTCTCATTATCGTTGGATGAGCTATAATTTTTTTTTATAAACCATGGTGGAGTTAATCAAAATGTTTATTTTTCAATATAGACAACTGAAAATCTTTTTTTTTTTTCTAAAACAAAACCACATTTTTTTAAGCGGAAAAAGACAAAAATTATCAAAGAAATATTTGCTAAAAACGGGGTGATAATTCTTAAAATCATGTTGTTTCTGAAAGAACAGAATTCAGATTATCTTTCCATGCATTTATCTTAATTTTCATTTTTTTGACGAAAACTTAAGTTTTTTTAGGGAGCTCGCAGTGCCTTAAAGAATCTTCTCATAAGCACAAACAGCACCTTCTTCCACTTATGCACTTGTGTAGTTCATTAAGTCAATAGTTAAAAATTTCTTATAAGAGTTAGTAAATGAATACAGCTTTATCGAAGGAATAATTCAATTTAGTGTTAAACATATTTTACTAATGTGTGCATTAAACTCATCAAGTCAATCTAAATCATGTTTTCAAAACGACAATAGATCATAAAAACATTGTTCACCTATTAGAAAAATGGCAGCAGTAATAACAAACAATTAATTATCTATCGTCGAACCTGTTAGCATCAGCACGTGATATCGTGTTACCTTTAATTAGTTCGATCACTGATCCTTGGTTAATGATTGATATTTTCCTTCTTTTCTGATGTAGGTTCTCTCGTATTTTTGTGTAATTTTATATTTACTGTTGATTATACCTTTATGAGTTGAAGTAATATAATAGAATTACATTCTTTTCAATCTTTCTCAAAAGAATCAATATATACCAGAGTTGTAAAACATGTAAAGAACGTAATTATCAAATACACAGAAAAAAAGGGTCAAATTTTATTCATTAGTCAATTGATTTTCAATGGATAATAAAATATATCAAGGATTTCCTTGAATGAAGACATGTCAAAAATGTTAATACACTATCGAAATATATAATATTTTTTATATCCAACTTCACAATATAATGGTTACCAAAAAAGACTGATGGTACGTTACTAATAGATACATTTTCTGAAGAAAATTTTACACACTGGTTTCATATTTACCTGTGTTTATTTCATTAGTATAATCATGGCTACGTCTTTTCTTTTGTCATACATAGACATCTGGTTTCTGTTTTCTCTCTAATTTTCTTATTACGATATTTACAGTATACATATGTATATTTGTTTTTCTTGATTTCTTATAGCCATGATCAAAATATCTTCCTTCTATTCTGCGCATCAGTATGAGCAGAAACCTTTCATGATCCATTTCAATCAAAGAGTCGAAGTATTAATGTTAACACAGATGGTTATATTGTACCATTAACTGATTTGGCTATTATCCCTTGGTGATTTCTTTTCTCTCGCGTTGTCTCGTATAGTTTCCTATGTAATTTTGTTCTCTTGTTATCTTTTATTTATATTGTGAGAACATCTCATTAAAACTCTCCTATATATCTCATGACTGATCAAGCTACTTACGAAATTTTTCGACGTAAGATTTTCTCTAGTCTTACACTGATCAAAAGTTGAATACATAATTTTCGACTTTGATAAAAGACGTAGATAGAAGTAATTGGTAATAATCAACGGCAATCTTCATAGCATCAAAAAAAAAGAGTTCGTCTATATGTTATAGTGCGATTAGAGAAGTATGTGAAAAGCAGTCCATAGAACTTCAATCAAACGATGCTTGATGTACATAAGTCAGACTCATAATTGATTCAATAAATTAAGATAATCATGATCCATTTTTTTAACAAACCAAAACTAAAGTGCAAAGAATGGTCTTTTTTCTATTTATTTATCACTATTATACTCATCAAGTCAGATAATGATGAATACAAAATATAATTCATACTTAAATAATCACTTAACAATGACCTTTCTAGAGCAACAGATAAATTCAATACCAAATTTTATAGTTATTCCAAACAAAGATGTGTATTTGACCAATTAATCCACACTAACCTGAAAATTGAAACATTGTAAATTAAAAAAATTGAAATAAGCTCGAGAAATATATCTATTAAATATCTCTTTTGATGAATAAACATTGTTTATAGTACTTCAAGATCGATAGATATACAAGCAAAAAAACAAACATTTACAAAACTCAATAATTTTTTTTGTATACAGAAAACAAACTAGCTGATATTTTTAATAATATTTTCCAAGATAATTCGATAGAGTCGATCTAACATCTTTGGGTGATGAATTTATCCATGTACGACGAGATTGTGCTGGTCGATAGAGTGTTGGCAAACGAAATGGTATATATCCTTCTTTCTCTTTAATTGATTGTTGTGAAGGTGAACGAGATTGATTTACTGCTTCTAGTTTATATAATAATCGTTCAATTTCATCATCGGATGGACTTGGTGGTGGAGCATAATGACGTTGATAATTACCAATTGTATCATCGTCATTGGCTATTGGTATTATTGTTTGAATTTCTGGTTTCGTACCACGAGCAGTCAATTGAGTTAAATCAACTTGAGTCGAACTAGATAAAGTTGAATGATAGAGTGATTTACGATAGGAAGGACGTTTTTTCTTTCGTCGACGTTGATTTTCATCACGATGAATATCTTTCTCAATAGCAGGTAAAAGAATTTCGTCTAAATGATGACGTCCAGAGTATGGTAAGATCGATTTTCCAGTTGTTACTAGATGTTTACTAGTATAAACATCGAATGAAAGAGTTTTTAATTCTAGATCATGATCATCAACATTATTTAAAGAAGAATAAACAGGAGGATGTCGTACTGTCTGATCAAAAGGTAAACGTTGACGATTTATTTTGTGAAAAATATTTGATTGTTCAAATAATGTCATCGGTTCACGCATGATTTTATTGTTGTCGTTATATGTACAAAGAAACTCTACATGACGTGATGGTAAGTGAATAAAATAAATGTTATCGTTTTCAGTTTTGAAAGTAAAGAAACAAATATGAACAAGAAGGAAAGAAAAAATAAAGTGAAATATTGTTTTTTTCTTTGTTACAAACAATGCAGTTCTACGACTTTTTTTCGTGTCTGTGTCTGCTCAGCAATTTTATGCGTAGAAGCAACCGAGGCGATACTCTTGTTGAGTTAATTTATCACGATCGCTTGAATGAAAGCATAGAAGTGAGAAACAGAACGCAAGGAAGAAGTAAAAGAAATGTTTTGTGTGACAAAATGTGTGCTAATGTAAGGATTCTTGACTGAAGTATTTATACTTCATTACTTTTTCGGCATGTTTTATTCATATTAAACTTTTTTTTAAAATGAATTTGATACTATTTTTAAACGAAATATCCATTAGCGTGTCTTGATTAGAAATTAAACACAAACACACAAGCACTTGATC